AATTGCGCATATACAGACATACCAAAAGGTATAACGTCGTCATACTTTTTTTCTTTTTTAAAAGTTATTATTTATAAACAGATAATAAAGTTCATGACTGTTAGTATTAGTATAAAGGAAATATTAAAGCTTTAACTCCTGTGGTATGTAAACTTGAACTTAAGATAACTGTTCAAAATTTTGAAATAAATTATTAAAAAAAATAGTAATTACAGTTCATTCTTTTTACAACGGATCTATCATTCTATAATAATAATAATATAAATAATAATAATAATAATAATAATAATAACGGATTTTGCTCTATACCGATAATTTAAGCTCAATTTATGACCCATATATGAATCATTGCTATTACTGTCTATAATGGACATTTTTTCGTAAACCGTTATAGAATATTAATATTTAAACACTACACCACATTACCGTATGCTTGACTTGGTTGTAGTTCTATTAAAAAAATAAGTAATAATTAATCATAATATTAATACGTGTAAAAACATATATCATTGGTTTTTTACCCACTCATTCGCAAGAGTTATTATTTTTATAATAAATGTTGTTGTCTTTTTGGTACTGAAATGAAGAGAAAACATTGAAATATAAATCTTTTTTATTTTATTAGCCTTCAAAGCGAAATTGTTCTTACAAGAAATAAAAAATATATACAAGAAATAAAAAAAATATATACAAGAAATATTTACAATAAGCGGGTAAAACGTCGATATAAGATAGTGTTCCCACGGACGAAGACTTACGATAAAAAAACAATTATATACAAGAAATAAAAAATAAAAATTAAATAAAATAAATAAAAATAAATAAGAAAAAATCTATGTGCACAGATTTTCTCCTCTATTATATCAGTCACATCCGTGAGGACAATATCAAATACCGACGTATTAGCTGCAGTTCACGCAACAGGCGTGAAGCTATCTTCTTTCGATCGGCCAACCATGACGCCGATCGTCTCCTTTGCCTGCCTCAGGAGAACCCATCCAATTCATACACCGCCGGACGACCTGCAAATGTTTGATATTAATTAATTGAAAGTTATCTTAATTAATGTGATTCGCATATATAATTGATATAATACCTATATTCTTTCGACCCCAATTCTTACATTGTACAACAAATGGGATGCCGCAGGCAACTCCTTTAATATCGATTCCCATGTCTCCCAGCCCTCTGTATAATAGATAAACAATAAACAATAATAATGAGTATAATGCGTCATCATCATCAAAGAACTTGACAAAATAACTCGGTGAAAAACACTCACTCAGTATTTTCATGCTCAATTCCTGCATCCCTCAATTTGTTTACAACCGCAAGTTCAAGTTGACGGCCTTTAGCAAGGGCTGACAACAGTAAATTTTTTAAATGCATTGTTAAAAAAAAAGTTATCGCAATTAATTAATTAATGTAAGTTCACATATATAGTTGATATAATACCTATATCTGTTCTTGCACTGTATAACAAGTGGGATGCCGCAGACAACTCCTCTAATATCAATTTCCATGTCGCCCGGCCCTCTGTATAATAGATAAACAATAAACAATAATAATGAGTATAATGTGGCATAATCATCAAAGAACTCGACAAAATAACTCTGTGAAAAACACTCACCCAGTATATTCGCACTCAATCCCCGCATCCCTCAATTTGTTGACAACTGCACGTTCAAGTTGACGGCCTTTTGCGACGGAAGAAGTCATTTTTTAAAAAAATAAGTTTTAAAAAAAATTTTTATAAAAATATAATTTAAAAAATTTGGAGGAAAAAAATTTTTTAAAAATTATTAAAAGATTTTTAGGGAAGAAAGATCTTTATAAAATGTATTAGAAAAAAAAGATCTTTATAAAATGTATTTAAAAAAGGTATCTTTTATAAAATTATTAGAAAAAATAAGTTATTAAAATACTCACATCTTATATTTATAATCGATTGAAAATGTACCCAGAATGTTCTATACTAATACCCTTAGTC